CATGTGCTGGAAGAGTGATAACAGTCGAAAAAGTCGACGAAAATAATTGTTTTTCGATTCCAGGATTTTGGGTTTGAGGCGCTGCTGCGCCCTTGCATGGGCTCCGTTCGGTCTAATATTTGGCTCAGAGTCTACCTAAGACTAGTACTTTGAAAATATGAAACATTTAGCAAAATCCAGGTGGGACCGGAAAAGGCCCAAAACGTTACTCCTCCTTTCAGCTATGGGGAATCTAATAATCAAATAGATCAGGCGAGAGACCATCCGCGACTTTTGGAGTGGTAGTGCTGACCCACTGTGATCAATTTTCGCTCAAGTTTCTTAGTGTTACGATCTTGCTGCGGACTGTGACTCAAAGTGAATGACTTGTATCTCGATCTTTCTGTTACTCCAAAACAGCTCTTTTCAGTGCTCCATTATCGCGAATGAAATTGCGAAGAAGACGCGCAATAGTTCGTCGCATCCGATTTTCGGCTCGTCTGCAAAATTAAGAGGAACTGTTTTATCAACCTATGCGGAAGTAATGAAACATTATTTTTACACTCATGAAGTATTATGGTCGAAAAACGGTGGACTTGATCCAACGGAGCGTAAAGTAGTTAGTCACATTGTGGAAAAAGAGCGTGTGCATGAAATTCGGTGCCGAAGATCAATCCCGACTCATTCGCAAAGTTACGCAAAATTAAAGCTACTTCAATTTCGAGCAAAATACGTAAAAGTTGTTAAGTGCTTCAATGAGCCGGATAAATGTTAACCGAAGGTGAAAAAAATTGAAGACTTTAAGAGAGTGGTGAACGAACTTTTTGATATTAGCCCGTGTAGGTGTAAAAACATGGACAGCTGTAAATGCTCTAAAACTAATAAAGTTCCGGGGAAGGAGAGAGCTTTTTAGATTGGACCAAAGAGGGCCCCGAACCACATTAAATGAAGGAATAATTTTGAAGAAACGGATCGGTTAAAGAAGAGGAAAAGGTGGCAATCGCAGTCCATTGCTTCAATTTTGACAAACGTTTTTTGGTCAAATAGTTTCTCCTCATTATGCAGATGAGCCGAAAATCAGACGCGACGAACTATTAGGCGTTTTCTTCGCCATTCCAATAGCAAGAATGAAGCACTGAAAAGAGCTGTTTTGGAGTAACAGAAAGATCGAGATAAAAGTCACTTCACTTCGAGTCACAGTCTTGAGCGAGATTGTAACGATAAGAAACTTTAGCGAAAACTGATCACAGTGGGTCAGCACTGCTACTCCAAAGATCGCGGATTATCACTCGTCTTATCTAAATTAGATTCCCCATAGCTGACATTTCCCGAAGACGGGGTCTGCCAGTGAGTTTACGGCTCCACAGACACCGACCGGTGCCGGCACCTTGCCGCCGCGCGTTGCGTCGGGTTTCCCTGGACCGACCGGCCGGCCCCGAATGGTCAAAGCGGGCACCGGGTGGACGCAACGCGACGATCCGTGCCCTGCATCGCTTAAACGCCCTCTCCGCATGTTTGTGGGTGAACGGTTAGAAATACCCCGAAACGGACGATATTTTTGTTAGTGGGGCCGATAAGTGGAAAATATCATAAGAATCGTGCACTTCTGGAAGAAAGCATGAAAATTTCAGGGATTCATCTCTACCCTATAGACATTCGATTCAGACATAGACCCCAAAAATCTGAGCCCCCTGGGGGGGCAGGGGGGCCCCCAAATTTTGAATTTTGAATAACTACTGAACGGCTAATGTTAGCGTAATTTTTTTCAAGCAGGACGATATGAAATTTTATCAGGAACAAAAATGGTTCTTATGAATTTTTCTGTGGGATCGATATTTAAGGCGTGAAACGGGAAAAACCATCGGGGGACGGGGAGCCGGCCGTTCTGAGGCAGATCCGCGCGCTGCGCTGTCTGCCCGGGACGCGCGCGGCGGCGCGGCGCGGCGCAGTACGGTGTTACCGACGAAACAGCCGTTTGTCTTGGTTTAATCTCAACGATGCGCAGTTTTAAAAATAATAATGAAATTACCGTACTGCCTAAATACTTTTCCTCGGTAATATAAGCTCTACTTTTTATTAGTAATACATAAAAACAAGCAAAAGCGAAATACTCCAATGTGAGAGCGCCGAGTCAATAGGAGGGATCGGTCATCGCGCATCACGCGTCTTGTTTTTTCTGAATGCAGAGCTTTTCCGACCTCATTGCAGAGTAAATTACCCTTTCCTCACGTAAGTTTTGTACAGGATTACATTTTTTTAAGACATTAGAGCAAAATAACAAGTTTTAATACGATTTTGACCCATTTTTTCATGACTCTTGGAAATGGCGGATCCTTCGTAACTTATTTTTAGCGTATTTTTCATGTTACTTTCGGCGAATGAGACAATGAGCTGCTTACATAACCATGAATTTTGCAAAACTTGGTAGAGACATTAATTGAGGAGTGAGGAGGGAGGGGAGGGGAGCTCCACAGTCCCTTCGCCACTATAAGGTTACCAGATTTCCCTCATGTTCCTCCAATATCGTTTTTCGTCCATGTTAATTGGTTTCTCGCAATTGCATAGGTACTGATACATACGGATAATTTCGACAATGTTCTTTTCTCCTCTTTTTTCCACCTGCCAGTTAATAGAAGTTTTTATTTTTGTGAACTCCCCACTCTTTCAGTCATTCGACAAATATGTATATTTCAAAAAATTGAACAATATATTAAATGAATAAAAAAAGAAGATATCTGAATACTATCGCCTCTTTTTATCGAGTCACCCTTGACGATATTATTGGTACTTACCACGAGACATAAAAAATAGAATGAGCAGTACAAAAAATCCATGTATATTATCTTTTATTTTGTTCTTTGGAGTTTGCAGTGGAGTTGGTAACATTTGTTGCGAAAAAAATATTAATTCAGGAGGAAATTTATTTATCATGCAGATTCTGATCCTTTAAAGAACCTCTGAGAAGGACCAGGCCTCAGGAAGAAATTCATTGCATTTCTTCTTTTTCAACCCGCAAATCTCGTACCGATTTTTGATTTGTATGGAGCTCATGGAAAAGTTCTAGGTAAGTATGTCGGAGACAATTTTCAAGAAACGGGACTTGCAAAATATGCAATGCACAAAACGTACACCTTAAACTTTATCGTACATTACAACACTGAACACTGATCGAATTAGCTTTAGAGATTATCAAAAGGTTAGTTTATCGTCAAAATATCAAAAAATCAGTCAAAATCAGTAATCAGTAATCAGTTGCAAATTTAGCGAGATTGCGGAATATCGTACCTATGATGCGCTGACATAAGAGCAGGATAGGTTCCCAGTACTTAGGCGCGACTTCCTATCACTCAAATGGACCGTTTTGACAGATTAGCGGATACGGCGGCTAGTTATTACTCAATAATATTCTTTGTACTGTACAAGAATCAGTCCAACAAAGGTTTTTTGGGGGTCATTTATCCCTATCAAGCTTTCTTAAAATTATTTTGCCGTTTTTTTGGAGCAAGTTTTGAAGGTAGTTTTGGTCCTCTTAAAAAAATGCCTATACGTAGCAATGATGTACCAAAATGTTCCTGAAAGAGAGGAGAATAAGCATGTTTTTATGTATGCTCATTGTTTACAAAATTAGGCTCCCTGTCTTAAGTAAGCATATTTAGATACCATCCTGATGTCGCAGCACCGAGAGAAAGAGAAAGAAAAACACTTTAAAATCATTTTTCAGGTCATCGTGGTACACAAATAAGATTTGTGACTTTTAGCCCCCCCCCCTTTCCCGAGACAACTGTGCCTCAGATTTTATTCCGTTCAACTGATGTCTGATGCAGTTATCTCGGATGCTGTAATAAAACTTGACAAACCCATACAACAAAACAATTCGGAACTCCAGCACTTAACCCCTTCTCTTTCTGTTGCCGTGCGCTCGCTTGTATACATATATTACCTGCATAAGTTAAGCCCTATTTTAAGGCTTTATAGGTAGTACGATATATTCACAATACTTTTAAAACTGCGCATCGTTGAGATTAAACCAAGACAAGCGGCTGTTTCGTCGGTAACACCGTACTGCGCCGCCGCGCGCGTCCCGGGCAAACAGCGCAGCGCGCGGATCTGCCTCAGAACGGCCGGCTCCCCGTCCCCCGATGGTTTTTCCCGTTTCACGCCTTAAATATCGATCCCACAGAAAAATTCATAAGAACCATTTTTGTTCCTGATAAAATTTCATATCGTCCTGCTTGAAAAAAATTACGCTAACATTAGCCGTTCAGTAGTTATTCAAAATTCAAAATTTGGGGGCCCCCCTGCCCCCCCAGGGGGCTCAGATTTTTGGGGTCTATGTCTGAATCGAATGTCTATAGGGTAGAGATGAATCCCTGAAATTTTCATGCTTTCTTCCAGAAGTGCACGATTGTTATGCTTATCGGCCCCACTATGTCCTTGGCACCGTAATGGAGATGTTGCATGTGTGAGGAATTTGCGATTTGACCGTTGATTGTTAAGTAAAAGTGCGCGAGAAACACGATGGTGCTACTGGCTTTCTCTGAAATCAACTCCCAAGCTCATAAAAAGCTCTCAAGTTGAGACCAAAATGGAGGGGATATCCCATGCTATCCTGAGAGTTCACCTCTACATCACGACAAACTCTCCATGCAAAGATAGGGAGCAAATACATTGACAGGGCTGCCACTTTATTTGGGGACTCCAAAACTGAAAACACGGCAACCCTGCTAATGTATTTGCTCCCTATCTCAGCATTAAGAGTTTGTCTTGATGTAGACATGGACTCTCAGGATAAGGTGGGATATCCCCTCCATTTTGGCCTCAACTTGAGAGCTTTTTTTGAGCATGGGAGTTGATTTCAGAGAAAACCAGTAGCACCATCGTGTTTCTTGCGAACTTTTACACAAGAATCAACAGTCAAATCGCAAATTGCTCACACATGCAACATCTCCATTCGGCATTAGATACATTAAAAATGAATGAATTATGAAAGAGATATAGGGAGAAAAAAACATGATATATACCTCGAAAAATGCAGTCCATTCGAACTGAAGCAATAAGGAGAGAACGAATAATTATTAGAAAAATGGTAATAACCTAAATATTATCTTCATATTTACTTGTTCCCAAATAACCATTCAACAATGGGTCAAAGCATTTTTTATAACCAGCAAAAAGCAGCACTGAAAAGGACATACTCAGAAGTAACTGACAGAGCTGAAATGGGTAGTGCCAATAAAAAGGGAGCCAATATTTATAGAACAGATGAGGTCTGTTCTTTTAAGTTAGTTGGTTGGATTTTACATCGACTCTGTGAAAGGGAATTTTCACGCATGAAATTTCAGTCTAAATAGACCACAGGATTTGTGTTTCTTCGTTTCTAATCTGTGTAACAAATTGGGATTTGTTTCCTTTTCAGATCTTTCCCTCCCCCCACCCACACAAAAAAAAAGATTGGCGTTATTCGGCGGTACGGTACCGTCAAATAAAATGTTCTTCAGCGGTACCGTATCCTGACGAGAAAATTTTCTAAATATCTCTTAGGTGACTTGTCGTGATGACTTTTTGACCGCTAACCGGAAAACTTCCTACTGCTAAGGTGCTTGGATGACTTTTTAACTGTAAACCAGAAAATTTCCGACCGCTAAGGTGCCTTCACCAAATAATTTTTCAACCGCTAATCAGGTAATTTCCTACCACTAAAGTGCAAGCAAACGCCATCTTTGGTGATCTTTGGCAATATCTATTCCGCCGACCGGGCACGCGCGCCCGAAGGCGCCGCCCGGCCGATTCTCGACCGCGGTGCCTGGCGAAGACCGGCTCCCGCGGGGGTCTGCGACCTTTGAGAAAGGAGTCTTAAATCTTTGGAGGAGGCAAAAGGTCACCTCGTGGTTAAGGCTGAAGGACTGCGAGAAAATTTTGATACTATTTCGAAGACTGATTGGTTTTATAATCAATTTATCTCTTTTGAACACGTCGGTTGGTACGCTTCAGTCTACCTCTACATCTCAATATTTTCTTAAAACGTAAGTTTTGAAATTTTCAAGTTTTTCTCACAGTCCCTCAGCCTCGGCCACGAGGTTACCTTTTGCATTCCCCAAGGATTTGAGCCTCTAATCCCTAAGGTCCCAGCCAGATAATACTAATAGATCGCTGTCGATGGCGTTCGCTCGCTCATCCGATAAAGGCACCTGAGCGATAGGCAATTTTTCGGTTAGTGGTAAAAAGTCACCCGGTAAAGGCACCTTAGCGGTATTCAGAAAATTTTCAAGAAAGGATACGGTGCAGCTGAATAATGTTTTATTTGACGGTACCGTACCGCCGAATAACGTTTTACACGACAGTATCTACCATACCGCCAAATGGACACTTCAAAAAAAAAAAAAAACCGGCGCTCCGCTTCGCTCCGCGCCGGTTTTTGGGGGGGCTTCGCCCCCCCAAGCCCCCCCAGGAAGCGCGCTTGGCACGCGTCTTTTTGAGGTCGTCTAGACATCTAGTTTTTCTTCTTTTTAAGTTTCCCGCGTATCCACCATGGGAAGGAAGTGTATTTCCTTAAGTGGGATTTTTGTAGTCATAATATCGTACGTCTGTAAGTCATTGTGTAATGGATAGTCTTTTTCCAGATATTTCCTTTCCTTAGGCCGCTGTGCGACGCACAGTTCGTCCAAAAACTTTCTTCACCTAACCCTCTGTGCGATGCGCAGTTTGTCCAAAATCTTCCTTCCCATGAACCACTGAGCGACGAAAATTTTGTCCAAAAACTTCCTCCCCTGACCCACTGTGCGACGAAAATTTTGTCCAAAAACTTCCTCCCCCTGACCCACTGTGCGGCCCTGCTCCGGCCGGCTCCCCTCATGCCGCGCACCCCTCGCCTCAAACTTTCAAAGCTCGCCATTTTTAAATAGCTCGGTCGATTTAGCTCAAATTCAATAACAAACCAGTCCTATGGGAGAACTACCACCCATAAAAATTTCAGCTCAAAATATTCATTTTTGCTTGAGTTCTCGAGTGGACAAGATTTGACCTCCCCCCACTTTCGAGCCCCACCCCTCAAAATCTATTGCCTCAAATTTCAATTTTTTTTTGCAGAATAGTAATTCTAATGAGTCTCTCCTAAATGCAAAAAAATTGGTTTAAATATCTTTCAACGTAAGGAAGATATAACTACTCAAAAATCGAAAAATCTTAAAAAGGCGGGAATACATACATACATACATACATACATACATATATATGACGATCTCTCCTCATCTACGGTGTTAATGGCTTCAATGTTAAAGCACCAAATAAATGTATTTACCAACCAACCAACCATACATACAGGGTGTTTCAGACCACCCGTACCAGGCCTTTTTCTCGGTTGGTTTAGGTCGCACGAAGTCGGAGACAGCGGGGTTGAATAGGGAATTGACCCCGAGGACTCCGAATTTCGTGGTCTCAAAACCCCCCCACCCCCCCCTTGGGGGGTAAAAGGGGGGTCACGATGCTAAAAGTCACGGTTCCCGACCGAATTGCGGATAGATCGCATCAGAATTGAAAAGCACGGAAAATTTCACGTGAAATTGACCCCTAAAAATCCAAAATCGGACCATCCAAGGCCCAAAAATGACCCCCTAAAGAGGGGGACAGTAACCCCCTCCGTAATTTCTCTTTGGTCTCAAAATTGACGTAAATTCTCCAGAAAAAGACGGCTTCCCAGGTAATCGACCCCGAGAAATCCAAATTTTATGGTCCCGAAGCTCCTCTAGCTCCCCTTGGGGGGTAAACGGGGGGGCCCAATTTTAAAAATCGGGGCTCCTTTCCGAATCGCAAATTGATTGCATCCAAATTGAGGAGCAGAACACATTTACATCTTAAGTGACTCCTAAGAGTTCTAATAGACCCCCTGAACGGCAGAAAGTAACTCCCTGAGGAGGGGGGCTTCGCCCCCGCATAAAATTTCTCAAGATTCCTGAATGGTGGCAAAATTGACGTCGATTCTCCAGAAAAAGACGGTTTCCTATGTAATCGACCCCGAGGAGCTCAGGGAACATGAAATTTAGAGTCCTTGGGGTCGATTACATAGGAAACCGTCTTTTTCTGGAGAATCGACGTCAATTTTGCGACCAAAGAGGAATCCTGAGAAATTTTTGGCGGGGCGAGGCCTCCCTCCTCAGGGAGTTACTTTCTGCCGTTCAGGGGGTCTATTAGAACTCTTAGGAGTCACTTAAGATGTAAATGTGTTCTGCTCCTCAATTTGGATGCAATAAATTTGCGATTCGGAAAGGAGTCCCGATTTTTAAAATTGGGCCCCCCCCCGTTTACCCCCCAAGGGGAGCTAGAGGAGCTTCGGGACCATAAAATTTGGATTTCTCGGGGTCGATTACCTGGGAAGCCGTCTTTTTCTGGAGAATTTACGTCAATTTTGAGACCAAAGAGAAATTACGGAGGGGGTTACTGTCCCCCTCTTTAGGGGGTCATTTTTGGGCCTTGGATGGTCCGATTTTGGATTTTTAGGGGTCAATTTCACGTGAAATTTTCCGTGCTTTTCAATTCTGATGCGATCTATCCGCAATTCGGTCGGGAACCGTGACTTTTAGCATCGTGACCCCCCTTTTACCCCCCAAGGGGAGGTGGGGGGGTTTCGGGACCACGAAATTCGGATTCCTTGGGGTCAATTCCCTATTCAACCCCGCGGTCTCCGACTTCGTGCGACCTAAACCAACCGAGGAAAAGGCCTGGTACGGGTGGTCTGAAACACTTTGTATATACAATACATATGTATATGTACACATGAATTTGAATGGCATATATTTTCGTGATCTACGACCCGTGATCGGTGCTCTCCAAAAGGTCTCCGGTCTGGGTCCGACATCATGAGAAAATACACTAAAAAATTACACAAATTCACCAAAAAGGCACAATCTATTGTGACTAATGCTGATTCTTTCAACCATAAGCACTGTAACAACCATCCTCCAAAAAGATAAGAAAGTTTAAGAGCTGATTACATGTGCTCTGACAAACGTCAAAACCAATTTTTTCTTTCAATTCTGAGGAAACTGAAAAAAACGTGTAAACTCTGAAGCCGTCAGTTAAAAGAAGGTTCAAAAGTTAACTATTATATTGATAGATTGTAGAAAATAAAAAGTATTTGTTTTCGGGTTCTTCCTCCAGTTGAAACTAAGTGATCTAGAAAAAGAAAAAAGGATATTGGACGCTGAAAGCTTTAGTTGTACATGAGTTTTTGAAACCTTGAAGTTAGAGAGCTGTTCAAATCCATCGAAAATCATTACTCAGTAGAAATTAAAACAAAAACCAGAACTGATGCATGTAAAGAAAGTCACATGGAGGTACAAGTGCAAGAAAAAACTGGACATAGGATTTTTCACTTGATTTGACCTGGTACATTCAAAAATATTACAAAATTATAATGATTTATGAATTGCAAGAAATGATGCAAGATTTCAGACGAGTGAAAATACCGTAAACGGTCAATTCGTTGCAGTAAGTCCCAAACTGGCCGACCAGTTTTTGTAGCTTTGTTTCAGCTATTATTCAGTAACAGTTACAGTTAATATTACTCTGATTATGGAAATTAATAGAAGTGTCCAGTTTGCATTGAGGCATAGGGGAGAGACAAAAAAAAAAAAGAAAAGAGGAACCAGTTCTTCAACTAAGTTCTGAATTTTTCCTTTTAACAGCTTCCAATTCTTGTTTATAAACGTATTACATTTTTTTCTTGAATGCGTGGGTATTTTCTTAATTAAGTCTCCCTGACCCTAGTTATGCACTTTACTAAGAACAGAGGAAAAATTCTCTAAACTCCTCAAGTTTTTTCATTGAAGAGTATATTGATTGCTTGTATTTTTCAAATTTTGGAGCAACATTTGAGGGAACATTTTAAATGACAGTTCCACAGTGGTGGTAACAATGATCATGTTTC